ATTTTTTTTTTTAAATTTCGTATACATTTTTGAAAAGTACGTGAAAAATGCATTAAAATTCATTATAGATAAATTAAAATCCATAAACTTTTGTCATAGTTATACGGATTTAAATATGACAATGTTATCCTTAACGTCAAAACTTCAACCCCCTCTACTTTCTACAAATATTTTTTTAATGAGTTTATATTTTAGGGATTTATTACTATCATATAGGAGAACAATTTACCAAAGTTTGAAGCCAATCACAGAACATTGACTTTTTGGGCTGGGGCGATTGAAAAAGAATCTCTCATATTTAAGCTCAATGTTATATCTTTGAAACGTCGTACATTCGACAACACACCTATTGAAACAATTGAAATTGTCTTTGGTACTTCCTTGGTTCCTAAAACAATTAAAACTTACCATTATTTGTTTTTTTACACTAATTACTCCCCCCCTCGGAGATGTGACTTTTGCCAGAGATTTAGACACACTGCTTACCAGTGCCGCTCAGCCCACCCTGTGTGTGAATTTTGTACACAACGTCATCGGTCATCTGAATGCGTCAATACGATACAACACCCAAAATGCAATAATTGTCGTGAACAACACATCGCTTCCTCTAAAGAATGTCTGAAATATGAGTTCGAATTCCAAGTATCGAAAATATCTTATATCTAAGTAACAAATTTGGAATCTTCGTATTAGGAAGGATCTAATACTAACATCGCAATAATTGCAATGTACATTCCTCCTACAATAGCGGATGAATGGACTCAATTTTTGGACTAATTTCCTCAGTCAACACAAGTATATATTTGTAAAGATTTCAATTCTCATTCCCCAATGTGAGGACATATAAATTATAATCAAAATGGATCAAACATCTCAGAAATACTTGATAGATACCCTCTCGTTGTTTTAAACACAGAGAATCCAACATATTTTAATGACAACACAGGATATTCAAGTATTCTCGATTTAATTATATCAACTCCCATGATAGCATGTACATCAGACACTTTTGTGCGGGAACAATCATATTCATCAGATCACCATCCTGTCTTCACAGAAATTAGTTTATCTCCAAACTTTTCAATTCCCAACAACACGAGGATTAAAGTAATCAATGTCAATTGGGAAGATTTTGAAAAAATAGATCAAAAAATAGAAGCTCTAGAAAATAAATTTTTATAAAACCCTGATGCAGTTTATTTAAATTTCATTCTTGAAGTCATATAGTCCTTAAAAAATTCCGGTGCACAAATTCCTAAAAAAACAGAACGTCCGCGACAGACCAAACGCATATCGTGGAACGATAAATGTGACTAAGCCATAAAAAAAGATCAATTGCTAGAAAAAATTTTCTTCGAGATCAATCACCTCACGCCGTTAAAGTATATAAAATAATCGACTTAGAAATAAAAGTTTTCTTAAGAAAACAAAAATCATATAAACAATTCTGACAAACAATTAAAACGCATCTGGGGTATAATCAAATCATTTCAATCACGTAATTCTCCCAGATCAACTAATACAATTAATAATTTAGACTCCGATGAAATTAAAAAACTGCAAGATAGTTTAGTTAATCCTAATATCCCTCCAATGCATATTCCGAATAATGAAGTTGTTGATGAAACTGATCCAATGAACAACCCATTTTCCATAGAAGAATTTTATCACGCTCTAACTTTATGTAAGAAGGATTCGGCTCCAGGGATAGATTCCATCAGTTATCAAATAATTAAAAAATTGCGAAAAACCCCAATAACATTTTTAGGCAAATGGATTTTAATGAAACTTACCACTTAGGGGTTTTTGGGGTCGCTGACTCCGAATTTGAAGTCAGATTTTTAAAATTCAAAATGACGGACAAGTTTTGTAAAAATTCATCTGATTCACTTGAAATTCATTACTGGGGTGTTTTCGGGGTCGTATATTACAAATATTATATCTGATTTTCTATTCGCTGTTTTAGGTGAATGTACTAAACTTTGTCTTCATGACAAAGGGGAAAGAGGAACCTTACAGAGGGAAAGAGAACTTTCATTTTCGACGGGTAAATTTTTTTTTAATTTTTAAAAAATAATATCGGATTCATAATCAGCGACCTCAAAAACTTCTGAGGGAAAAGTTTGAATCCAATCAGCGAGATTTTTAATTTTTTCGTCCGCCTTTTTTAATTTTTAAAAACTATTACCGGATTCGTAATCAGCAACCCCAAAAATCTCCGAGTAAAAAGTTTTAAGCCAATCCGTGTGATTTTGCCTCCTCTCCTCCCGAGGAAGCTTTCTATTTTAATTTTTCGTTCACCATATTGCATCCGCCATTTTTAATTTCACAAAATTCGTAGAGAATTTCAATGATTTCTAAATTTTGAATGCTTATAACTTTCTTAAAAATGCATCAAATTTAAAAGTTTTTTTTTTCAAAATGTGTGTTTTTAAGCGTACTTTTAAAAAAAATTGAAAAATTTTTTTCAAACGATATTACAATCAAATTTTTAAGTTTTAAAATTAATAAGTTTAATAAAAAAAATAAATAAAAAGTTTCAAATTCAACAAATTTTAAGCCTGGTTACCCAGCAAGAAGGAGTGGATTAAGAGACATTAATTGGCATTGGAAAAAACAGACAATCGAATGCCTTTAAATGCCAATGAATTCCGTTTCTTTCCTGAATCCCCTTTAATGCCCTCTGTAGATTATAACTTGATTAGTTTCAATCCGTTTGAATCCATCAAAATTTTATGTAAAGTTTGAATGCCGTTCAATGCCTAACTAAAAATAAAAAGTTGAATGAAGCCAATGCCATCCAATACTATTTGCTTTTAATCCCTTTCAATTACCTTTTTAAGTATGAATACCCTAACAGATGAATTCTTTTTAATCCTTTTTACAAAACTATTAATTTTAATACCTTTTAATGCCTTGTATGTAAGATGATGTGGAATAGACGAATGCCATTGAATGCTTTTTTTGAGAAATTAATTTGAGTACTATTTAATGCCATTCAATATAAAAAAAAGAGTTAAAAAGCGAATGCTAAATAATATTTTTATTATTTATGTAATAAATGAATAATAATTTATAATTAAATTATTAAAATAAATTTTCAATTGAAAAGTTTAATTCCTATAAAATATTGGAATAATTGTTTTTTAAACATTTATTCACAAAAATAATACATAGATTTCATAAAATATATTTAACAAATAAATTACTCAGGTTTGAAAAAGTTCTTTTTAAATGTTTTAAATTTTATTTTGTATAATTACTTAAAATAATTTTGCTTTAAAAATATATGTTTTATGTTGTTTATTTTTATTTATATTATAAAGACATTTTAGCATTATATCATTTTATTTTGTTTGAAAAAAAATTTTTAATTTAAAAATAAATTAGTTCTATATAAGTTTATCATTTTTATTGTAAAAAATACAAATATAAATTTATCAAATCGCATATAAAAATACAATAAGTTTCAAATTTGCAAAATATGTTATTCAAAATCATTACGTATACAATCAATTTAAAACTCACAAAGTCATTAATTTAAAATTATTTTAAATTAAACTATTGTGCCTCAATTATGTTTGGAATGAGGCTCCGACCGTTGAAGTGCACGAGGCATTAGAAACAAGGAACCTGGTCGTCCCGGAGACGATTTTTCGGTGTTCACGTTCGCTTAACGCGCTGGGTTCCTTGTGATTGGTTAATTACAACGGAAAAATTACATTCTGATGGATTCAACTAATCACAACTGACGCTCATGACGCAATGTTTCACCAAAGATATTCACGCAGACAGACGCAGAAGTAAAAGCACGCGCGCACTGCAGAGACAGGATAGGTTGCTTCATACCTAGCCTTACCTTGTTACTTGATAGCAACCGGCGCGGCATGCAGCATGAAAAGTAAATTTTTCGTTGTGTGATTACGTGTTTGTTCAGTGAAATTATTGTTTTCTATTTGAGTTGTGTAAAGTTATAAACGCGTTAAAAAATGTTTGCAAATGTTTTGTTACTTTCTTGTAATTTCAAAAAAAAATCTCTCAAGTGAAGGTTACAAAGAAGAAAGCATTTGCAAGGAAAAACACGAGAAGTGTTATCGGTACTAGGCTTGAAATTGAAAGTGAGAATAGTGCTAATGGACAAATTGTTTCTGATGTCGATCAACATGAGCTCTCTTCTCAAGAGGATTCGCAAATATCTGCTAATATTGATCCACTCTCTAATGATGATTTACAACAGCTTCTTGCAGACAAAAATGTGCAACAGCTTCCTGCTGACGACACTTTGCAAGAGATAATAGATTTCGAATTTGTTCCGTTTGAACAAAGGGCAGTAGTAACAGAAGACGTTACAGAAGCGTTACAAGCTTAAATTAAGTTTTTTCGTTCACTGTTTTAAAATTTTATATTTTGTCATAGATTAAATCATCTTTGTTTTATATTTTGTACTACTATATCGAACATGTTATATCACGACATACAACAAAAATTGTATGCAATACCACAAAAGATTTTAAGTCTAGTCAATTATTATTTACGAATAAAAAATAAATGATTAAAAAATATATTTGCCATAGAAAAATATTTCTTTTTTTGTAATTAATTTTAATTTGTTTTTATTCTTTCTAATTTTTATTCTATATAGCGTAAGAAAAAAATGGTATTAGTTGGCATTAGAAAACATTCATGTGAATGCTATTTAATGCCGTTTAATGCCGTTCTTTCATTTATTCCTTTTAATGCCTTTTAATTCCCCATAATACACTTGTAGGGATTCAAAAGTATTCGGAAGAAAACGGAATTAAAAGGCATTGAAAAGTTTCAATACATTTCAATGACATCCTTCTTGCCGGGTAGGTCGTGAGCCAATGATTTTTTTAATATTTTCGTATTTTTTATCAAAATTTTGAATTTTTTCAAATGGTACTTAATTACTATTTAAATTTTTTTTTAAAAAAAGATAGCTTATAATAATATGTGTAAGAATTTCAAATGTCAAATACCTGTGAGTCAGAAGTGAAAGAATTGTAATTTTCCGTTTGTTGAGTGGACAATCCGTTCGAGTTCGATAATCTCTTGAAATCATTGAGGGCGTAATTTCCTCGCGTGAATCGTTTCAATAAATAAGACAAAACTGGAAGCAATCTACAAATCTTCTCCGGTTCTTGATTAATAAGTAAAATAGCATTGGAGATCGCCAAAACATTTACCGGTATACTTAGGACTTGTGTCCATTTTTGCCAAAGTTGTGTGGTAATATTGACAGATTGGCAATTACCATAAACTGCTGCACAAGTTTCTTGTTGAATTCTATTAGCCATTTGAAGAAACATGTATTCATAGAGAGGCCAAAGTTGAATATTCTTTGAAAATTCAGCTAATTCTGTTTGATTTAATAAGTCTTCAGGCTTTGATTCATTTATTGGATTAGAGTGTTCTAATATTAAATTATTTTTCACGCAAAATTCTTTAATTTTCAAAAGGTGTTCTTTAGTCTCTTCATTGAAACAATGTGTTTTGAAAAACATTTGCCAATGTGAAAGCAATTGTTGTCGAGCATCTAATCCATCTTGAGATATTAAAATTATTAAATTTGAAATCATGTTTTCTTCATTATTGCAATTTTTCCATGGATTTAGGCAATTTGTCATGTATAACAATTTTGAGAATGAATCCGCAATGATTTTTGAAGATAGTGGTAGTGGTAGGCACATAGCGGCTTTGAATTTTTTAGCAAGCTTGAAGACAGGATTGTATAAAACAAATAATTCTTTATTGGTGTTATCTATCATTTTGGATAAATTTTTAATCTCAGTTTTACAATTTTCACTTAAAAATTTATTAGACAAGGTTGAAATAAATACTTTCAAAAATTTTATCAACCATTTATAGTGAACTTTTAAAAGTAAACTGATTTTACTGAGATTAATGAATTCTGTAGTTCGCTTTTTATCAATTTCAAAAACGAGATTTCCTAAATCACAGTACCTTTGATACCATTGAAGATTTCGTCTAATTTTAAAGTAATCTGTAGTATTTAGTGTTAATGGTTCTCGAAGTATGATATTAAAAAATTTTCGAATTTGATTTGTAAATGGAGTGAAATTATTTATTAAAGACTCATCCTTAAAAAGTATGTTTATGGTACCGTTCATTACTTCAGTAGAATATCTTCTAACAGTTTCTTTCTTAGACAATTGCCTCATTAATAAATCGTTTTCAATTTTATTCCAATAAAGAAGTAAAGCTAATCTGTTTGCATCATAATGAGTTTTCTCTTTTGCTTCTTTTGTAAGAGCTCGCGGTAGATAAAGTGCATCCCATGGTAAAGAATAATTTGGACATTGAAATTGGAATGATAAAATTTCTTTTACCAAATTTTCACAAATTGCATTTGCTTCATTATAATTTTTTAAAAGCCATTTATTTCGCAGTTCAACATCGTCTACTGAAGATTTTTCGAAAAATTCCATTAATACATACGGAAGAATTTCATTAATGGTCATATTTTTAAGTTCTTCAAAACGATCCAAGTTTAGAAATACCGCTAAATCATTTAAGTTAGAAGATTGAAGGAATTGAATGTTCTCGATAAAGTAACTAAGTAACACTCCTTGTTGTTTTATTCTTGATAACTTTGAATTTTCTTGACTATCTTCAACTTTCCAAGTTATTGTTTCTAAGTTAATAGAAGTTTCATCGATATCAATAGCATTACAAAAATGTGTGATTGTTTCTTGAATTAATAATTCCAGACGATTTTTTTCTTTACTTATCGCTCTCGCTTTTATGTACACATCTTGACAACTAGTTTCGATAGCTTGTTTTAAAGAAAAGCCCCTTGAAATTTGTTGCTTTATTAAAAATGCCGATTTCAGCAGAAGTGTAATATTCAAAGTTTCTGTTGTTGAAATATCATGCGAAATTTTCTCATGAATTTCCAATAGAACATCTTGATATTTTTTATTTGTAAGACCGGAATTGAAGAGGAGAGATCGGACATCGAGATCTTTATTAAATGATTGATCTTGATCGAGTAAAAATATTTCCACACCACGATTTCTCATTGCTCTCGAAATTTCTCCATATTTTGGATCCATCGTTAGAAAAAGTCTAAAATTTTCATGTGGTTTAATTGTCATTATATTTCCATCAATTGTAGTGCCACGTTCGCCAATTGTAAGAACACCATTTGGTTCTAATAAACCATTGAGTCTATCCAATAAAGCAGGACTGCAAAAATTCACCTGATCTACTAACAACCAAGAACCCTCTTGTAAACACTTGACTAGTAAACTATCTACCCATTCAAATTTACCTCCGGCATTTAAACAACGCTCTTGTTCTACGATTCTTGAGAGACTTTCCAATTTCTGTGATATATCATTCAATTCTTCAAGATGAATATCTAAACTCTTCATGATTATAACTAAACGTAATAACGCGTTCAGCTTTTGTAAAAAGAGTTGACTGGATGTAGATTTGCAATTCTGAATAATATTTCTAACGCTTTCTAAACAATGATGGTAATGCCTGCATGTTTCAATATTATATTTGGATATTCTCATTTTTAAACAGTCGATCATTAAACTTTCCGTGCGTTCAAAAAGTTCCTCGAGATGTCTATTATAATCCGTTTGCTCGAATCCACCTAAAATTTCATTTGTATCCATTTCGGAATTGACGACAACAGTTTTTAATTTTTGTCCAGCTAATTGACTAATTACTCGAACAATACTGCTTTTTCCACTAGCGGGACCACCGACAAGAATAGACATCCATTTCATATTAATGCATTGTGCAAGACTTCTCAATACTTTCATTTGATCTCGCAAAAGTAGTAGGTCCTCTTCATAAAATAATGACTTGCTTCGATTTAAAACTATATCACCAAAATATAATTTATCACTAGTAACATGTAAAATTGGCTGACTAGAAGAAAGAGGATATCTATTTACTGGAAATATTTCTTCATATATTTTAATTACTGTCTCTTTATCAATTTTAGTTCTCATTCTATCGGCATAAATCAATTCCACACAGCATCCAGGATTATAAATTAAATCACTTTCATCACACTGACATTTTGCTGAATAAATAGTTGCCTCACACCATCTGATAACGTCACGTAAATTCATTTCCCATGGAGATCCATTCAAACCCCATAAAACACCAGCCTCTGATGATACTCTAGTGTTAAAATCAACCATCCTGTGCACTAATTCCTGTGACAATTCAGGAAATTGAGAGTAACTTATAAATTTAAGATCTTCATCCGTCAATGTACTGACAAAAACCTGAGTAAATCGATTTAAAAATGATTTTGGCAATCCTCGCCTCGCACCGCCTTGCTTCATTGGATTTTGACAAGCAAAGAATTTAGTTTCCGAAGTAATAGTAAAAGTCTTAGCAAGTTCTGGAATAAAGAGTTCGCCACGATGATCAAAACAAGCATTCAAACACTCAAGAACAGAAGGAGAAGCTAAATTCAATTCATCCAGTAGTATCCAATGTCCAGCTCGTAAAGCACGCAAAAATGGTCCATCTCTCCAGGAAAATTCTCCTCCTTTACCACCTTCAACGGGTAAATCAGTTCCGAAAAGATCACAAACATCTGTCTGATCACTCAAATTAATTCTGAATAAAGAATGTCCAGAGGCCATAGCAACAGCAGACACTAAACTTGTTTTTCCAACTCCTGGACTCCCTTCCAATAAAATTGGTTTCTTTATTTGCATCGCTCTTAAAAGTTTAAATGTATTTAGCTTTGTTGTTGAAGAGGAAAAAGTAAATCTCTCATCATTCACCTCGCAATCATCACCTCGCTCAATAAAAAAAGGCTCAATACCAAATATTTTTTCTGTAGAAATTTTTAAATTTTCTACTTCTGTTAGTTTTTCAATAGAAAAGGTTCCCAAAGAACGTAAGTGTCGAATTAAAAACTCTAAGGCATTTTCTTTAAATTGTTTCAAATTTTCAGTATTTGTTCCAAGTCCATCAATATAGGTCAGACAAGCTCCCTGTAAAATTGCATCCGCTAACGATAATTTACTCTTTGTTGAAATATTAATAAAATCAACCCAACTTAAGAGATCTCTTGTGCTCACCATGAAAGTTTTCAAAACATCGTATCTTTTCATCCAATCAATAAAATTTAAAATACACGAGGAAATATCTCCTCCTCTCTCAGTGAGACTAACATCAAGATTATGCTTTATTATAATCCTTAAATCATCTTGTTCTGTGCAAGGATCACACCAAATTTCTGTAAATCTATTACGTAATGCAGGAGAAAGTTCCTTTTTTCCATAATCACCACCAGGATTCATAGTACCCACGAAAAGAAATTCTTCTTTAGCGACAACAATGCTGCCAAGTTTATCCGGATTTGTTAAATCGATTCCCTTTTCAGCCAAAACAAGAGTACGCTCAGGCTCTAGTAATGAATTCAATCTTTCAAGCACACTGTCATCGGCTAATGAAATTTCATCAGCTAAAAATAAATCTCCGTTCCTCATGGCATGAATCAAAGGACCGTCAACCCATTCGAAAAGTTTTTGATTTTCACTCTGACTCACTCTAACTGGACGTAAATTTCCCAGAAAATCCGAAGATTCGGTATGCATATGACAATTGACAACGTGCAATTTTTGCCGCTGAATCGCAGCTACCAATTGGCAAACTGTAGTTTTACCGCAACCCGTTTCACCAACGAGTAAAACTGGTTCTCGAAACTGACTTGATTTTCTTAGTAAAACTGCCATTCGTCTCAAATGATAAGTCCACACTATATGTTTAAATTCTGAAATATCTTCTCTTAGTATTTCCTCCAAAATGTGTCGCGTAACCGGCGAAGTAGTTTCACTCAAAGTAAATAGATCTTGTGGTCTTACATTCCGCTTCAAATGCTTTTTGATCACTTCTCTTATCTCGGCTTCTTCCTTCGGAAGACGAACTTTAGCAGCAAGTACTAAATAACCCTCGTCAGCTAAATGTTGACTCCAATCGTATAATCCTTCACCACTTTCTGGTGCCAATCGATATCTTTCACCCCATCGAAATAAATCTCTCAATGTTATAAAACCTTTTTTTCCAGCAAATGCAGCCGTTGTTTTTCGTCTAACTTGAAGATCTTTCATCAAATTGATAATCTGTTTACAATATGATTCAGGCATACTGCATCTTTTTTGCAATATTTCCTGCAATTCTATCGGTGGTATTTCATCGAAATGAAATTCAACAAATCTATTTCTGAAGGCTCGAGAAAGAACTTTTCGTCCTCCATAGAGTCCAGGTGGATTTTGCGTTGCGAAGAGCATAAACTCGTTATGAGCCCTTACAACCTGTTGTGTCTCCGAAATGAATAGTTCTCTATTGTCGTCTAGAACTCTGTTCAATGCTTCAAGAACATCACTTGGAGCCAAGTTCAATTCGTCAAGAATAATCCAATATCCTTTGCGCATTGCTTCAACCAATATACCTTCTCGAAAAACAAGTTTCCCCATTTCATCAGCCACGTAGCTGCCGACATATTCTTGCAAGTCTGTATGTTCATGATTATTTATACGCACACACACGTGACCGGATGCTTTCGCTAAATAAGTTATCAAGCTCGTCTTTCCCACTGAAGTGTCCCCCTGCAACAAAATCGGCATCTTCCCTATTGAGACAGCTCGAGCAATGTCTTTAAGATTACGTCTAACAGACACCGTCAATATATAATTTTCCGGTGTTTTGGGAGCCTCACTTCCTCTTGTAATCCAATAGCCCTCAAAATTAATATACTCCAAATCGTTTTTAGGCCTTGAAATGGGACTAGAAAGTATTCTTTTTGCTAATTTTTCATCAAGCATAGACTTTTTGATCAAATGTTCAACAATGGGATACGATTTATGATCAAGCTGAGTCAAAAAACTCAAACAGAATGCTTCAAACAAAGATCTTAATTCATATTCACATGGATTAGCGGCAGTGATACTTAAAGCTCTACACAATGTTCGTAAACTATAATGTGGTTTATTCATTGTGCCATCGAATAAAATTAAATGCGCTTCTTTTCTTAAACTGATGTAAAAATTAACAATAGCTTCATGTTTACATTGTAAATTCATATGCTTGAGATATGAGTCGACTAATATTTGTAAATCAATTTTTGACGTTAATTCGTCAACGAAAAATTCTGTAAATCTATTTCGAAAACCAATGGGTAATTCCTTTTTTCCAACATCCGTTGCTGGATTCATACATGCAAATAGAGTGAAATCTGGATGTCTTTTAATTAAATCTTCATCGCCTCTTTCCAAAAGAGATAAAGAACCAGAAGAACCTTCAAGTAAACCAGACAAATATTCCAAAGTTTCTGCATTAGCCAAATTAATTTCATCAAGAAGAACCCAGTATCCTTTCTGGATGGCTTTGACGAGACTTCCCTCCACGAAAGCAAACCCTAAAGCTATGTTACCTTTCACTTGTGTTGAAAGTTTCTCTATTTTTAAAAGAAGCTTCTCCCATGTCTTTACTTTAGAAGAATCTTTCAATCTATTTATTGCTCTATTAGCACTGACAGTCATTGCTTTTAGAAGACTATCCCATTTCTCTTGATTGTAACAGAAAGCAATAGCTTCTAAATATTTCTTATTGGGTTCAACGGCAAAATACGATCGGAAGAGTAACTCAAATTCTTCTCTAATGGGTTTTATTAGAAATTTCAAATCTACCGGTTTGTATCCTCCTAATAAATCCGCACTTTCACTTAGCTGATTCATATTAATGACAATAAGAGTGTTTCCCGTACTCTTAGCAAGATATTGTATTGAACTTGTTTTTCCTGTTCCAGTCTCACCAACCAGTAATACGGGTTCTTTCTGAGTAACGCAACAAGCTATGCGTTCTAACAAGCAGGCAGATGGACGTGTAAAAGAAAATGTAACATTTCTTTTTTCGATACTCGCATAAGATGCTGTTTTACAGGGCAATTTTGCCCGACCAACTATGAAATCCTTTTCACATGTTATGGGTGGTTTGTAAGTCTGGAAAATATTTTCTGCATTTACTTTATTGATGCCTAATTTGTGCCCAATTGCAATTACCAAAGATTGTCTCTTTCCTGAAATAAATATAAAAACCAAATCAATGTTTTGATATTAAAAAATTCAGGCTTCATATAGAGATTCTAAAAAATATTTTAGGAGAAATAGGGGACTATTAAGGTACTATGAAAATTACACAAGTAAAATTAGAGGGTTAATTTATACGCTAAACCACAAATTTAGTAAGGCTTTGAGGTATTTTTGTTGTGCGAAAACATATTTTATAATTTTTCATTCACAAATTAATAAAACTGAGGTTTCTCAATTTAATTATATTTTCAAGAATTTTTATTTACAATAACTTTTTAAATTTAATTGAGACAAATTTTCAAGATTTTACTTCAATAGGACAAATTTTTGAAAAAAAAAATTTAGTTATATTTTTAAAGAAAATTTAAGTCTAATTTATAAACTAGGTGTTCATTTCATGACCATTTAGCTTCCTCATCATAATACACTTATATTCAAGATTAAAAGAAGGATTACGACTAACATAGTGATCAATTTTATAAATATTGATAAAATTTAAACTTTATATACATCAATCGATTCGTTTTTATGCCAGGAATATAATTTTGACAAGAATTAATTAAAATTTCTAAAAAAGTTATTTTAAAAAATACAAAAACTATTTTTTCAAAAAATCAAAAAAATGATTTAATCTATAGATTTATGTAAAACATGAACTCTATATAGGTTAATCAATTCATTTTAATGCAAGAAATTAGTTTTTCTAACCAAACAAAATTAAATTTACAATAAAAAAGTTTTGTAAAAAATTTTTTTTCAAATTTTGAAAAAATTGTAAAAAATAAAATGTTGTGAATATATTCGGAAATCCTTGTGTCAGATTTTAGGTATTAATGATTAAAATAAGTATACAAAATTTCTGGACATTGCGTTAAAACGTTTAAGAGATAATTTGTATACAATATTTTGTGACATACACACACATACATCTGGACATTTGCTTAGGACTTCATATATATTCATTCTAGATGAAAAGGAGTCCATATAAACCAATTTTAAAAAATTGAAAATCGTCACGAATGCAAAGCTTCCTCATGAGGAAGCAAAATTAATAGAATTTAAAATTTCGTCAAAAATTTTAAATAGTAATGGAATTTTAGAAAAATTTTAATTAAGAAATGTTTTAAATAATTGAATTTTTGAAAAATTAGATTATTTTTTAGAAATAATTAATTAAATAAAGAATTTAAGTTGAAAATAATTGAAATTATTGTCAATTTGAATTAATGAAAAATATTAACAAAATTTTAAACAATAATTTAATTTTAGAGAATTTGGAATTAAAAACAGGTTTAAATAATTTAATTACTGAAAAAAATTAATAAAAAATATTTAAATAATTAATTTACCAAAGAATTTTAGAAACAAATTTTACAAATAATTTAATTTCATGATATTTTTAATTAAAATTTTCTTAAATTGGAATTACAGCTTTTTTTTATAAGCTTCAGACAATAACTGAATTTTAGACAAGTTTTAAGTTGAAAATAGTACATTGTGCAACTAGTGGGGAAAGTGGGTGATTTTTCGAGAGTGAAGTTTGCTGCTCGAGCGCAGCGAGAGTAGCAATCACTCGAGAAAAATCATTCGTTCCCACGTGTCGCACACGACGTTTTCTCCAACGCCTCGCAAGGAAATGCATTTTAATTAATTAGGAAGAATTAACAATGTATATATGCTTTATATATAATGACAATTATTTGGTTTTTTAAAATGAACAATATTTTATTTAATTAATTAATGTTTAACTTGCCCAATATTTTTCTAACAAAGAAAGTTGCACTTTTCGAGCAGGCGTTGGAGAAAATAATTTAAATAATTCAGTTTTCGAAGAACTTGATTAAAGTTATTAGGAATAATAAATTTAACAAAGAATGTTTTTAAAAACGTTTAGAACTAATTCAATTTTTGCAGATTTGTTATTCAAATTATTGTAAATTGTAGTTAATGAAAATTATTAACAAAATGTTATACAATAATTGATTTTAGAGATTTTTGAAATTGAAAAATTGTTTTAAATAATGAAATTTTTGAAGAAATTGATAAAAATTATTAAAAATAATTAATTTTGTAAAGTATTCTAGTTAATATTTTTTTGATGTAATTCAAATTTGTAAAGATGTTTATATTTTATACTAAAAAAAGTAGTATTTATCTAAAAAATGTTTTTAAAAGTCGAAGAAGTCACATTTTATTAAAGTAAGTCAAAATTAGTCGCATTTATGGATAAAAGTCGAAAAAGTTGTGCAATCTGAGGCTTACAAAATGTAATTTAATAGAAATTCTGTCAAAACTTTTTGATAGGTATTAAATTTTCCTTGGATAGGCTTTGATGAATTTTGAATCTAAATTCTTTGATTATACATAATGTGTTAGATATTTATTTAATAAAGAGGCGTGCGTGAGGCGAGGCGAGTTATTATCGCGGCATGCTGGAACTCAATGCCTCGCCGGCAGAAAAGAAAAGCTAAGAAAGCTCTGTACTGGTGGAATGACGAGCTAGCCCGTCTAAGAAGAGAATGCCATGCAGCGAGGAGGAAGTATACCCACTCTAAGGGAGACCTCCTGCTGCAAGAAGAGTGGCATAAAGCCAGGCAGATCTTCAAGCGGGCTATAAGGAGTAGCCAAAGAAAGTGTTGGAAGGACCTGATCGGAGAAGCGGAAAATGACCCATGGGGGTTGGCTTTTAGAGTAGTTTCTAAAAAACTAGTTTCGCGGCAAAAAAACCCCCGGTCTGGACAATCCGATTTGGGTCCGAAAAATCATACCTTCTTTGTTCCCCATGTTGAATCTGGCCCCCGAGAGGACTATACTCACTGTGTAGGACAGAGGGAGGAACTCTTCACACTTGAAGAGCTTAAAAAGGTGGCAAAGACGTTGAAAAATGGCAAAGCGCCAGGCAATGATGGAATACCCAACGAGATTCTTAATGAAGTTATCGCTGTGTATCCGGAGCTACTTCTCGACGTCTTTAATACATGTCTGGAGTGTGGAAGGTTTTTCAGTGACTGGAAAACACAGAAGTTGGTCCTCCTTAGGAAGGGGGATAAACCTCTAGATAAAGTCTCATCGTTTAGACCAATTTGTTTATTGGATACGATGGGTAAACTTCTAGAGGGAATGATTCTGGAGAGACTACAGAGAATCCTGGTAGGCGAACGTAGCTTATCCGAAAACCAGTTTGGCTTTAGAAAGGGTCGGTCAACGGTAGACGCGATTTTAGCGGTTGTTGAAAAGGCACATAAAGTCAAATCAGGGAAAAAGAAGGGATTTTGCGCACTCGTAGCCATAGACATACGAATCGCGTTCAATTCCGCGAGATGGGATAATAGTATCGAGGCGATGAAACGTAAAGGGGTGCCAACCTATCTGTTGCGAATGATAGATGACTATCTGAGCGATAGATGGGTTGTGTACGAGAGCGATGCAACCATATGGAACGTCATGTATGACGGTTTCCTGAGGTTGGACTTACTGGAAGATACGTTTCCAACCGGGTTCGCGGATGACGTGCTTTTAGTGTGCTGTGCGGACGAGATAAATCTTTTACAGATAAAACTCGATGATAGTCTGCGACGAATAGGGTTTTGGTTGGACCGACATGCCCTGAAAATGGCTGTTGAGAAAACCGAGGCTCTGCTCGTCACAGACCGGAGAGACTTCCGATTCCCACGGTTGGAAATTGGAGTATCTGTAGTTTCATGGGGGACAAAACTGAAATACCTGGGAGTGACGTTGGACAAACGTTTGAGTTTCGGCCAACATATTAACATCTCGTCACTCCAAGCCACCGAATGCATGGGAAACCTTTCGAAGATGATGCCCAATATCGGTGGCTCCAGGGAAAAGAAACGTAGACTAGTGGCGACTGTGGTTTAATCAAAGCAGATTTATGCTGCCCCTGTTTGGGCTTCGGCCCTAAAGTTCCACTGTATCTCTGACCGGCTCCTCGCGGTCCAGAGAGACCCGGCACGGAGAATTGTGTCAGCCTTCAGAACGATGTCTACTTGCGCTGTTCTGGTACTCGCTGGATTAACGCCAATGGATTTATTGGCGATGGAAAGGAAGGAGATCTTCCATCTTAACAAAGATCTGGCGGGTACTTCAGAGCATAGCGATAGACTCACACGGTGGGTCTGAGTAAAGTACAACCCAAAGAAGCTTGCGTATCAAAATTTCTTCTTGATTTCTTTTTTAGGATGTCTCCTGATAATTTTGAGCCCAAAAAGAAAACAATCGCCTGAGCCGTTTTTGAAAAAACTCATTTTTTCGATATTAATTAACATATTTTTGAAAAAAATATATAATTGTAAGGTTATTATGGGCTTAATTCATTTAAAATAACCGAAATTAATGTTCCATAGGTGCTCAATTCTTTGCAACAATTTTAACCCATAAAAATACTTGAAAAACCGTGAAAAATGTGTTAAAAAGTCGATTTTTTTAAAATTACTCCCTCCCATTGCATTTTAACTGATTAATAGTGCTTACAAAAATTAAAGCTTATAAAATTATCTGTAATTTAAAAAAAAGTCGAACGATTTATCTTTAAAATTGTCAGAGATATGGCCTTTAGAATACAAAAAATATACAAAAAAATTTTTAAAAAGTCAGTTTTTGTGAAATATCTAATGTCTTGTAACTCTAAACATACTGCTACTTACGAATATATTAAAGTAGACATAATTCTGAGTAAATCTAAAAAAATAGAGGTTTCTAGCTTAATTACAACAAAAGTTATGACCGTCTAAAAATTACTTTTTTATCTTTACTTCTATAACATTATTTGGTTAATGTCTTAATGTATTACGATGTTAATGTTGTTATTATATTATTATATAATTTATATTTATATATTTATATATATATATATATATATATATACTGTTCATTGAGAGTCAAAATTATAAAAAAAAATGAAGATCGATATTATTTTCAAATGCAAAGTTTGTTGTATTACGAAAATACGAACAGACGCATAAAACGCTTGTAACAAACTTTGCATGTGAAAATAATATCGATCTTCATTTTTTTTTTATAATTTTGACTCTCAATGAACAGTATATATATATATATATATATATATATATATATAAATATAAATTATATAATAATATAATAACAACATTAACATCGTAATACATTAAGACATTAACAAAATAATGTTATAGAAGTAAAGATAAAAAAGTAATTTTTAGACGGTCATAACTTTTGTTGTAATTAAGCTAGAAACCTCTATTTTTTTTAGATTTACTCAGAATTATGTCTACTTTAATATATTCGTGGGTAGCAGTATGTTTAGAGTTACAAGACATTAGATATTTCACAAAAACTGACTTTTTAAAAATTTTTTTGTATATTTTTTGTATTCTAAAGGCCATATCTCTGACAATTTTAAAGATAAATCGTTCGACTTTTTTTTAAATTACAGATAATTTTATAAGCTTTAATTTTTGTAAGCACTATTAATCAGTTAAAATGCAATGGGAGGGAGTAATTTTAAAAAAATCGACTTTTTAACACATTTTTCACGGTTTTTCAAGTATTTTTATGGGTTAAAATTGTTGCAAAGAATTGAGCACCTATGGAACATTAATTTCGGTTATTTTAAATGAATTAAGCCCATAATAACCTTACAATTATATATTTTTTTCAAAAATATGTTAATTAATATCGAAAAAATGAGTTTTTTCAAAAACGGCTCAGGCGATTGTTTTCTTTTTGGGCTCAAAATTATCAGGAGACATCCTAAAAAAGAAATCAAGAAGAAATTTTGATACGCAAGCTTCTTTGGGTTGAACTTTACTCAGACCCACCGTGCTCAAAGCGATAATACGCAAAGATTCAAGAAAAAGACTCGTTCAGAAATGGCAGGAGAGATGGGATGGGGAGTCTAAAGGTAGGTAGACCTACCGCCTGATTCCCCTCCTCGCCACATGGTTAGATAGGAAACACGGTGAAGTTGACTTCTACCTTACACAAGCGTTGTCAGGTCAATACACACTGACGACGCGGAGCACACGCTCTTTTTCTACGGGCGCTGACGTGAACTCAGGAAAGCCATGTTCTGGGCTGTGGGCACTGAAGTCACATCCGAGAACATGGTTTCTATTATTTTGCAGAGCGCGGACTCTTGGAGGAGTGTCGAGTCCTTCATTACAACTGTAATGAGGACGAAAGAGGACGACAGGAGGAGGTTAACACGGAGAAATCCTGCTGCTCGGCTGGGTGCACGCGCGGGACGGGGGCGACCTTAACTGGTTCTCCTTCTTCTGGCGCTGGCACTCAGTTAAGGATTTAGGACCGAGAGCAACGGTAAGGAGACTTCCACTGGCGATGTATAAAGTCTCAAAAAGGGTGTGGTTTTTAGTGGGTCGACCAGAACAAGAGCGGTCATCCCCACATAACCTGAGAGTACGGGCTCCAGGTATCTGACTTGGAAGTAGGCCTCCAGGTTTATGCAGATTTTCCACTTCCCTCGTAAAAAAAAAATAATAATTATTCTATACAAACATTTGTTATAAATTCATTAAATTTTGGTAAAAATGAGTATTTTCATTAAGTATTCTCATAAAAATCAAAGCTTTAAACTAATTTTTTGTGAAAAATAGGAAAAATTTATGGAAAATTATTCAAATAGAGTACTTTTAGGGACAAATAGGGAAAGAGAGGACTTTTAGGAAACTATGAAGCCTGAAAATTATGTGAAGAGTAAAGTGGAGCAAAATCACCAATTTTTAATTTGTCAAACTGTAACTACTAATAAAGAGACAACTAAAGAAGGTTTGAAAGATTGACACATTGGCTGCATTTTACATCGGAGATAAAACTCCATCTTTTCTAGATTGTAAACAACAGTCGTTCGGGGCGTCTGATTATTCCATAAAAATCATTAGTTAAAATTTTAATTTTCAAAAATTAGAATAATTAATTTTTAGACGAATTTTCATTTTTCGAATTGGCATTTGACAGATTTTCTTTTCAAACAAACTTTTATTTTACAGAATTTCCTTTTACATAATTTTTTATTTATAATAATTCTTATTTAACTGAATTTTTAATTTAACATAATTCTCATTCAACTGAATTTAAAGTGATTCGAATTCGATTCACTCTAAATTCAGTTGAATGAAAATTATGCTAAATTAAAATTTCAGTTAAAGAAGAGCTAATATTTTTCTTAAGTCTGTTATACTGAAATATTGAAGTTTAAAGTTATGGGCTAGCTTCACCAACCGTGATTAAAACTTAATCAGTGATTAAAGTCAGTTCAACCGTATACCATTAGTTAGTTAGACTTTTTACTCATTAAAAAAAGTAATTGTATTATGAAATTAATTAAAATTTACTTGCCTTCGTCAGGTGTAGAACAACAAAAAATATCGATTGCATCTTCAAAGAGATTTTGCTTTTTTTCTTCAGTCGTTGGATAAACATAATAAACAGCAGCCCTCAAACACCATTTAATTAAATCCCTTGTAGAAGTTAGTCTTCTACATTTGGAAGAAATATTCTTCAACTCCATGTCACTTTCTTCACTTGATTGAAAAATCAGGAAAACATCTACCATTTTTGAAGCAATTGTCCTCAATTTTGGAAATAAAGTTTCAACGATTGTTACAAGTTCACCTTTTAAAAGTGGTTCCATATTAACGCAAGTCCAATGTTTCGAAAGCATATTTGATGCATTTGAAACTGGTTTACGTAGTCCAGTTGTGGAGGAAAACAATCTTTGTGTGATGAACAATTGAAAGCCACTTTTAACTTGAATTAAATCCCGATGTCCTGGAACAGACAATCTTCCTGTTTCAAGTAAATCGCTGAGTGTACTTGATACATCCATTGTAGCGCTGTCAATATCTTCCAAGAGAAGCCATTTTCCATCAGTCACAGCTTTTGTTAAAATTCCAGGCAGCCAAATAAATTCGCCGGGAATCTCAGTGCAACGGTAAGTACCAAGCATTACCTTTGAGTCTACTTGATCGCCTAATTGAACTCGGATAAAATCTGATTGACCTCGACCAGTGACATTGGCTATGTATTCAATTATGCTGGTCTTTCCGCAACCAACTGTACCTTGTACGCAAACGCATTTTCCTGTTGCAACTGCTAAAGCTAAGCTGCGAAGATTCTCTTTCATCGATGGGACGGGCACCAAAGAAAACTTTAATTTTTCAGCGTTACTATTCAAGACAGGAAGCAAAACACCAGAAACAGATATCACAGAAGGTATTTCCTCTAAAATAAGATCAATTTCTTCAGATGGATTTTCAGACAATGCAGAATAGAAATTTGTACATTGTTTTTTGTAATTTATTATGAATTCATCTATCACAGTTGAATCAATTAGGGAGGAAACATATTTTAATCGTAGCGATTCAGACATATCTAGAACGATTGCAATGCAATTCCAAGCCATCCTGGAAATCAAATAATTTATCATTCTAATGACTCAAAAAACGAATGTTAATAACTGATTTGAAATTATTATTGGGACGTATAAATATTTACCACATTAGATCTGTGAGAATTTTTGTGCTATCGAATTAAAAATTATATAATTTGTTGTTTATCAGAATTTTATAAAGTGGATTTTATAATGCGTTTATTATATTTGTGTTTATGTTCTTATATATTTTTTATAATTATATAATTTCTAAATAAATTATAAATTAGTAAAGATGTTAATTGTTTTTTGGATAAATCCACATTTTATTTTTAAAATTGGTAATTAAATGAGCTTTCGCCCGTCAACGTCGGGCCTTATCAGATTTATAAACTGAAATTAAATTTACATTTTTTAAGTTTGTTATAAAAATAAAATTTAATTAGATTGACAAACATAACCTCAAACTCACCAATATGGATTTCCACCTTCATTTAATAATTTCAAATGAAAAAATAAATAATTTTATCAAAAATATGATTTTCCCAAAAAGGGAGTGCTTCCGTGAAACTAAACTTAATTTAAATTATGTGGTATGATGTTTATGTGTTAATTTGTTAAAAGATTAAAAACCTACTTTATCATTTATGGGTCTGATTAATGATATAAAATCTATAATGTTCACATGAGTTTATAACTGAGGGATCTACCCAGATAACAAAATGCCTACCCAAAAGCAGCTCAATGTGCGTGCCATTGCTGTCCAAATAGTCCGCCCGTTTGTGTGGCACACGCGTACTGGCAATATGTGTGCCACTGGTGCCGATAATATACGAATATATTAAATTGATTGAAATAAGTGGAATATAATTTATATAATAAAATTAGAGCTCGTTACATTTTGTTTTTATTTGACGTCAATAATATTAATAAATTTTAAAAAAAGAGTATTCATCACTCATTCTTGAAATTTTTCCGACAGGTTGACTCTGAGATTCAAACCCTCGACCATCATAGCTCTCAACCGCACAGGGAGCGCCTTAACGCGCTCGACCAGGGGAGGCTATGAAAATTTTTGAGAAAATGTCTCTTATAACGAACTTATATTATTTTGTAAAGTCATCAAATAGCTTTTCAGATGTTTATTATTACTAAAAGTATATTATCGTATATATTTTTATGAACATTAATGATATCAATTAATAATTTTGTCAATTTAAAAAGTTTTAAATGATTAATTATGTTAATGAATAAAAATTACAATTTTTTTCATCTATACAACATAAAAATGGTATATGAATTTTAATACCTAACTTTATATTTGGAGTTTATTAACTTTGACATTTTAATTTAGAATGACATGGACATGAACTTAAATTTCAATCAAGTGAACTCTGCATACATTCCAATTTTTTCGATATAGCAAATTTTTGTTAATAAACTAATGTAATTTATATAATGCTAATACTAAATCAAAACTCATTTTTTATCAGAATTTTCTTATATGGAAATCACTGTTAACTTAAAAGTATCAAATTGCAACGAATTGATACCTAAAATGTGGATCAAATAAAAAATTGATACAAATTTTGGTATCAATTTGATACTTTCAAGAAAACTGTGATAATGTAATCTAAATTAAAATAGTAAAAAACTCCAATTTAAATTTTTTTTAAAACAAAGAAAATCATTTATATTAACTTAAATCTCAAGTTTTTAAAAGTTCAAGAAAAATTATCAAGCTACAAAAATTTACAAAATTTCGGAATTTGATTATTTTTAAACACTATAATATTTTAGTACTACGTTCATTAATTTGGAATGCCAGTAATTATTTGTTGAAAATCAAGTAATTTATGTTTTGATCAAATTTTAATATCCAATATTAAATTTTTTGTAAATAATGTTAGTCCACTCAAATTAGTCGAAAAACAAGGCATATCATGTTTTAACTCAGGACCTCAATTTTTTTCGCTTAAACCTTTCATTTTGGGGTAAAAATAAAGTACCTAAATTTGGTATTTCAAACTCCTACCGGAAACTAAATTTTTTTAAAGAAATAGGTGCAAAAAATCAGTTTTTTTACAAATTGACGCCTTTCATGATATTTTATCATAAAAATTGCTGTTATAAAAAAGAAAGTGACCCGTGTAGAAATTTCCCTACCAGGGCCCTGGTAGTGAATAATAATCTGGCCCAGATCAGGGCCACGAAAAAATGTGGATTTCATAATCAGGGCCAAATCGGACCCGGCGTTGCATTACCGTCCGATCCGAGCCATAGCAAAATTTCTACACGGCGTATAAAATTATGAGTAAATTGATAAAAAATTGAACATTTCTATAAAAATTCAAACAAATTTATGAATTTAAAGATAAGATTAGTGAAAATAATTTCAGATGTATGTATCTTATTAAGAAAATAAAAATAATAGGAACAAAAGTGATGAAAATATTCATGAATATCATAATTGTATAAATTTATTTATCGAAGATTTATTTATCCCCTATTCTTATTTTTTATATTATTTTTTATTAAAAATCACTAAAAACTGATCACATGAATTTAAATAAACATTAAATTTATACATTATTTCAAACCTATTATATATTTTTTATTTGATTTGGAAAATTAAAATCAATGAAATCTAGACGACTGTCAGACCAGAGCGTGCATTCGATCTAAATAATGTGTAAGTATAAACTCTGGCACATTGCAAGCCCGCTTGAGCTTCGAAAAGTTAGCTGGTAAAATCGCTGCGTTCCAGCAGACACACGGTCTGGCGCATTCAACGTGCCGGGCGTGCCGGACACGTTTGTTATCTGGGGTACTATATAACTTTAATGCGTGAAATTCAAAAACTGAATTAAAATAACAATAATAATAATTAAACATTATTAATATCAGCATTAACATCAATTAATATTATCAATTATGATACAATCAACATTAAAGTACCATAATATCATCATATTATTATATTGTTATATTATAACTAATATTAATTAGTGGATGACTAAAGCAGTACTTCTGTTATCAAGTCTGCTGTCTCTTTTATGTTGATAAATTCTGTCTTTAATGTAACTACTTGTTTCACAAATATAACAGGCTCCACATTGCCATGGAATATTATAAACAACGTGATTCCTATATTGAAAATTTGTAATATCCTTATTTTTTGAAAAAACCTTAAAGGGATCTTTTTCATAAGAGAAAACGACTTTAGCATCATAGTTTCTGTAAATGTTTTTAAAAAAAGATTTTAATTGATGATAGAATCATTCTCTCTAATGATTGTGACATCAAGAAAATTAATAGAATTAAGATTTTTTTATTTCTATAGTAAACTGTATATTTTCATTATATTTGTTAAATGCGGAAAGTAAATTGTTAATGTTATTTTCCTCAACAATGACAAAAATATCATCAACATATCGTCGATAAAAATAATATGAAAAACTTAAATTTTTTAAAACACCTGATTCTAATTTTTCCATTACAAGGTCAGCTATACCCTATTGAAAATCCCCACATGGGATCCTATACTATATGATTCCATAATTATAGGTTCCTTTATAAAAAACCGTTATGAAATCTTACATACAAGTTTTAATATAGGAAACCATATGGCATTTGAACATAAAAAATCACATGGATTTATATATAGAAAACAATATAGGATTTCATGTGATAAATTTCAGTTAACTGTATTATACAGAAGGCAGTTAACAAAAATTAAAAATTATTTAATGAAAAATTAAATAATATTACTGCAATTTATCTGAAAAAAATTTGTGCTTTGCAATACACCTTCTGAGTTAAAGTCTCAGCTTATATAGTATTCAATAATGATCTCAACTGTGAGAAAAAAAATTTTTTCACCATCTGGCGGCGTAAGAGTGGAATTATGATTTACATTTACATTTCCTATGTAGGAATCCATGTGAGAACATATGCAGGATCTTATGTAAGATATTACTTAAGATTCTACATGGATTCCATCATGTATGTAGGAATCTATGTAAAATCGTATATGTAGTATCTTACATAAGATCCTATATATGTTCTCACATGGATTCCTACATAGGAAATGTAAATGTAAATCATAATTCCACTCTTACGCCGCCAGATGGTGATAATTTTTTTCTCACAGTTGAGATCATTATTGAATACTATATAAGCTGAGAATTTAACTCAGAAGGTGTATTGCAAAGCACAAATTTTTTTCTTTTCAGATAAATTGCAGTAATATTATTTAATTTTTAATTTTTGTTAACTGCCTTCTGCATAAAGCAGCCAACATGAAATCCCATGTGATTTCCTATGTTCAAACCCATGTGAAATCATATGTAAGAATGCACATGAAATCCCATATAGATTCCTATATTAAAACTTGTATGTAAGATTTCATATAAGGAAATCTTTAGAATTTTATATGATATTTTTTATAAGATTTGATGTGAGTTGACTATGAAGGAAATTGACAAAAATAATATGCCAGAAAAATTATAGGAAATAATGTAGGAATTCACATAGATTTCAATGTAGAAACAACATCATAAATTCCTACATGAAATCATACACCAAATCGTGTCCGAATTTCATATATGATTTTACATGGAATTCTATGCGGATTCCTATGTCGACTTAGGATTTCATAACGGTTTTTATAAAGGAACCTATAATTATGGAATCATATATAGGATCCCATGTGCGATTTTCAATAGGGTTATGCCCAATATTGGTGAACCCATTGGTGGTCCAAAAATCTGTTTATAAAATTCATTTTTAAAAGAAGAATAGGCATCATCAATACAAAATTCCAAGATATCTAAAAAGACGTCATCAAGAAGTTTTATATGTTGTCTAATTTCACGCCTTTAACTTTACACATTTTAATACCAATGATTTAGAAATATTAGTAAAAAGAGATTTTGCATCTAATGAAATTAATCTACAATTAGGTGTAATTTTTTTATTTTCAATTTGTTTATTAAAATCAAAACTATTTTTAATGTGACATTCTGTTTTGTT